AGTCGGTGGACTGGACGACCCACAAGTGCCTCCCGGAGGTGCGCAACCAAGGCAAGTGCGGGTCGTGCTACGCGTTTGCGGCCGTCGCCGTGGCCGAATTTGCCCACTGCCTCGCGACGGGCGAGAAGGTCGACGTCGCGGTGCAGCAGCTCGTGAGCTGTGATAGCAGCAGCGGTGGCGGCTGTGATGGCGGCCGTGCCAACGCTGCCATGAACACGCTTGCGCGCACGCCCATGTGCCTCGCCGCCGACTACCCGTACACATCCGGGACGACCAAGGTCAACGGCGAGTGCAAGTCGTCGGCGTGCCCGACCAAGAAGCAGCTCAAGATTGGCACCGCCGTGCGCACATACGGTGAGGCCAACTTGGTCGCGTCGCTCCAAGTGCGCCCGACGGCCGTGACGGTCGAGGCCGGCAACGACGCGTGGCGCTTCTACAAGGGCGGCGTCGTCACGTCGTGCCCGGGCAAGCGCTCGGACCACGCTGTGCTTGCGGTCGCGTACGGCACGGAGAACGGCACGGCGTACTACAAGATCAAGAACTCGTGGGGGCCCAACTGGGGCGACAACGGCTACATCAAGCTCCAGCGCAACGCACCCAACACGTCCAGCGGCATGTGCAACGTCGGCGAAGGCCCGATGTACCACCGTCGCCGCTAGATCGACCCTCGTACATGCAGTAAACAGAAACGTCCCATTGGCTTCCTATATCCAAGCGGGTTGCATCCTATACATACCGGGTCAGGCTTGCATGTACATTGCATCCCGTGGGCGGGCGCTGCGAGCGAGCGGCGAACTTGCCTTTCTAAAAAGAAACGCACGTGATTGGACCATTTTCTTGCTTCGAAAAACGACGCCGTTTGATTGGTCCCTTCCAAAATCCGAATATGAACGCGTATGCGGACAAGCTTCCAGAATCGAGGTTCGGCAGATACTAGTACCGCATCGCTCGCAGCACTGATGGCCAGCTTCGTCGACATCTTCCGCGCGTCGGCGCCGTTCGCAGCCATTATCACGAGCTTCCAAGATGGCCTGTATGAAGATGTTGCCGCGTACGTTGCTACGTTTCGCCGCCACGCGTGCGAGCATCCGCGCAGCACCAAGCAGCGACCGCTCGCGCACGAAGCGACCATCTACCCGAGCCGCCTCCTGCCCCGCGCGTCGCTTCTTGACATGGACTGCGTCGACCTCTTTTTACACACGGGTGACATTGGTCGGCAAGCGTTTGCAGCGCCGATCCACTTTGCTGTCGCGATGGGCCATGTTGAGATCGTGCTTCGGGCACTGGCCTGTCGCCGACTCTCGGTCGACCTCATTGCGTGCGCACTGGCCAACGGCCATGTGGATCTGGCCAAGCACTTGCTGGCGAACATGGACAGCTTGGACGCGACCCGCGTGCCCCGCTCGCGGACGACCACGGTCGAGGCGCGCGTGGCGGCCCGCGATGCCCCCGAGCTCTTTTTGCTGCTGAAAGCCTTTGCGCCCAAGATCGACTGGGTCAACGCTCTCGCGAGCGCGATTCAAACCCGCGCCGCCAGCGCGGCCATGTACATCTACACGCAGCAGGGGGCGGCGGCGGTGGACGCGACGACGATGGACACTGTGTGCACGATGGGCCTTCTGGCGCTGGCCACGCAGATGCATCTCGACGGCCAGCGCTGCTCCGCGAACGCGATGAACGGCGCGGCCATCAACGGCCATCTCGAAATGGTTATGTTTCTGCACGAGCATCGCCAGGAGGGTTGTTTTCCCCACACGATCGCCCGCGTCGCCGCGCAAGGGCATGTCGACGTGCTAGCCTACCTGGTGACCCACGTGGTGCCCCACGCTGCGCGCTTCTACGCCCTCGCCGTCGACAGTGCTAGCAGCTTCGCGGCGCTGCAGATTCTGGAGGCGGCGGTGCCCGGGCGCGTCTCACTACAAACGCTCGCATCCGCGCTCGAGAGTGGCTCGCTCGACTATGTCGCGCATCTCTTGCAGACGTACCACATCGTGTTTCGCGCGGCCTTGTCGGCGCGTGCCGGCCTCGTAGAGTGGCTCTTCATCAAAGCGTGTGGTCCCCACGGGTCCATGGCGCTTCTGCAGCTGCTCGATGACTATTGCACGAGTCTGTCGCTGGTGCCGTCGCACACGTCAACCAAGAAGAACGCAGTGCACGTCGCGCTCTCGTTTGGTCATGCCGACATGGCGGCCTACCTCTCAACCCGTGGCTACCACTGGCGCCAAAGTGCATTTGACGACGAGACCAAGGCAGCGGTCTGCGGCCACGCCAATGCGGCCGCGAGCGTGGCCTTTCTCCTTCAGCAACGCGTCGCGATGGACAGCGACTGGGCCAACGCGGCGTGTCGGTACGGGTCCTGGCTCGGTGTCGCGGAATGTGTCGTGGCGGCGGCGACCTCGCCCGTGTCGATGCAGTGGCTTCTGCACGCGGCCCGGGGCGCCGGTATCGATGTCGTGGCGACGTTGCGGGCGACCCGTGTCCAGCCACCGACCGCCACTGACATTGTCGATGTCGGCAGCGCGATGCCCGACGTTCTCTTGTACTTGTATGCAACGTACCCAGGCGCGTGTCACTCGGACGAGGTCGTTCACGTCGCTGTCCGTCGGGGCAGGACCCGCGGCCCGTTCTTGCGGTTCCTCTTGGACCACAACCTTTGCTCGCTGCGAGCGATTGTGGTCTGGACCGCCCGGTTTGGGGACGCGGCCGCCTACCGCCGACTCTCGGCCGACTGCTTGCGCGATGCAGAGGACCCCGTGGACGCACTCTTGTTTGTGCTGAGCCTCGGCTACAAGGTCGCGTCGCGGGGCGCCGAAGGCATCCTCCATGAGTGGCTCGCGCATCTCTTGCGCTTGTTTGATGCGTCCAAGATGCATGAGGACGAGACGATGGTGCGAGATGCGATCGCTCGACATGCAGCTAGCAACGCGAGCGCAGGTGCCTTTATGCAGACCATGCGCACCGAAGGGCTCTGGCCGTTCAACTGGCTGCTTCGGCTGCTCGGAAACGACGCGTGCGCGTCATACCTCCGGCACGTTCTGACGCTGTGGGAAGCACTGGCGAAGGAGACGACTGTGTAATGACGTGTATAAATTTATGGTTCATTTTATCACGTTTATGGCGCTCAAAACGACATGGATGGGATGGCCACCAGTGAGGATCGAACCGCGGTCTCGAGGATCGACTTGATACTGTTGACTTGATACGATTCCTTTTGTACCCAATCCTGCAACCCACGGCTGGACAGCCACTGCGTCGTACGGGGCACGGCGGCGATCAAAGGTCTTTCTATGACGAGTGTCGTCGGTACCATCGGCATATGTTTCGACAGCATTTTAAAGGGCCCTAGTCAATCTGCTAGTCAATCGTGCCAAACTGCAATCGGGATGACAATATCTACAATAGTATTCTACTACTATTAGTAGGGTGCAGCCAGCGTCAACCCGAGCTCCGTTACGGTACACATGTCGCATGCCAATTCAACGAAAAATACCGAAAATACCGAAAAATACCGATTAAATTCTTACTTGTGCGCGTCCCACGTCCCGAGAAGGAAGACGTCGTCGTCTCGCGCTTGATTGCCGCGCGTCCCACTCTCCTAAATAGTGGCGTGATCGTGGTCGCGTCTCGTCCTCATCCGTACCGTCTCCTCCTCAAAGCACCTCGCTTCAGTCGACCATGGACCGCCGATAACGCCCTTCACACGACACTCGATGCCATCGACTGGACATGGCGCACACCACCCTACTAGCGTACCCGTGACACGCCGCGATCCATAAACCACGCTGACTGTATGCAGCTCGACCACCCGACCAGGTTCCGACCGCGTCGCGACCGTAGCAAGATGATTCCTCCACAGATATATTTCCATCTCGTCCTCTGGCCTCTCACCCAAGTGTCCGAGCCGTCGTCTCGCACGACGCTGGTGTGGGTTCCCGCGAAAGCGCAAGCAAACCATTGGGGATCGCCGATCGGGTCAATTGCCTTGAAAAGTACAGCGCCGCCTGTTTCTGGCGCGCTCCTAGGTGGCGGTAGGTGGTGCACCGTACTGCTCTGTGGTAATGCCCTGCTCAGACGCGACCACCAAGATCGCCACCCACATGCCCATTTCTCGTCCTGCAACCCGTCGCACGCATTATTGTCAATAGTAGTTATGGCGTCGGTGCCGCCACGCTTCTTCCACTGCCCGCCACTGCATGCGACGCAGCGCGAGGCTTACATCCACCTCGCGCTAACCTCGTCCCAAGACACGCTTCTCAATGCGCTGCACATGCAGCGCGCGCGAGCGACCAAAGTGTGCACGAGCAAGACCACTGGCGCCACGGCCCGCGTACGTCGACGGCCTCTTCTGTTTGCTAAGACGCTCCGAAATAAGAAATGATTATGATAGATCTGCCGTGGCCGCGATCGCCTCGACAAGAGCGTGCAGGGCGCCGTTGCCTCGACACAGCTCCACGGCTGCCGGCTCGACGACGTCGTCGCGTACTTTGAGTTGGATCAACTGCTTCAGCAAAAGGCCTTGGGCCTCGTCAACGGCCAGACGCTGTATACGCTCGTCGACCGCTCGCAGACGCAGCCCATGCACTATGTCGGCCTGCACTGGGTCGCGTGTGCGAGCCCGCTCGTTGGCGTCGCGCCGCGCGACTACTGTGTCCTCGAGGTACCAACGAACGAATTGCTGAGGATGGCGTGGATCTTTATTGGTATTACATGATGGTAGTATCAAGATGCGTTCGTGTATTTTGACGAGGTGTGCGGCAAGGAGCGCCGCGGCTGGCTGCGCATGCTGCACTCGATCCCATCGCCGTCGTGCCCGTCGCTCCGAAGCTCGCACGGCCTGGTGCGCGCCGAGCTCTTCCGCGTACGTTCGCTTGAAACTTGGAAAAGTTTCAAGTGCTGATAATTTGCGACGACGACGACTAGTCGGGACATGTCTTCATCGAGACCGACACGCCGGGTGTGCTCGACTACCACCATGTGCTCTGTGCAAAGCTCCATGGGTCGCTACCTCAGTTTCTCGCGGCCAATACCATCGTGTCCCAAGTGAGCCAGGTGCGACTTTTGCTCCTTGGAACGAAATACATTTCCGCATCACGACGGTATCAACCACAGGTGCTGCAGCTCCAAGAACGACTGACGCCAACCGTGTCGGCAGTTTCGATGAAAGCCAAGCGCGCGCACTGCCACCGGTGCAGTGTCAAATTCTCAAGTTTGTTTCAACGCTCCCGCACCTGCGACTACTGTGTCGAGGTAATTCCAACGTCGTATCAATGTATCAAGGAAGCAACCACATAGGTCTTTTGCCGGCGCTGCTGCCGCGTGCGCGGCGACGACTATATTTGTGCTGCGTGCGAAGCGCCTCAGTTCACGCTAAGCCGCGCCGAGCGCTCGGTCAAGGTGCGCCCGAGCTTGCGGGCCACGCAGGCAACCGACCGATCGACGCAGTCGTCGCTCCTCGGTGACGTCGCCTTCTCCGACCCGACACCCGATGACGCGGCGTGCGCCATCGAGGGCACGTTCACCTTTATTGCGTCGTCGCGCTCGCTCGTTGTGCAGCCAGAGATTGCACTTCTCGAACCCGAGCCAACGACTCCATTGCCGCCCGTCGAGCGCAAGCGAACGCTCTCGGACGGTGTCGTGCCGCTCTTACAGCACACGCAGCGCGACGCGGCGCAGGCATCCACGAAGAAGCTCTTCGTGCTCTATGAAGACCCGCTACGACCACTGGGTAGTTTTTTGTGTTTTTTGAAAAGTTCAGGAGTTGAATTCGTTCTGTCTAGAGCCATCGGCGCTCGACGAGACGCTTGGCACCGCGCGCCTCGCACTGCAGAGCCAACGAAGCAACCAATTGTACAGCATTTTGCGCTCCAAATACGACGCGCCGGACGGGACCGAGCACCGAAAGAAGGTGATCGAGCGTCTCTGCGTCGACCTGCTGCGGCCCAACGAGACGACGACACCGACGGCCTCGGTATAGCAGTATGCCAACGACATCCACCCTATTTCTCATTAATTAATCTCGTATGTACATCCTTTTATGAAAGACGATGCGTAGAGATGCGACACCAGAAATATGGAACAAAAACACAACAAATTCCGATGCACGCTGGCCACGATCGCACGACACACCTGCGTCCACATTGTCAAACGCTACCAGTGTACGAGTACATTATGTGATCCTCTTTCGACGAGTTGGCGCTTCGAACCTCGCTGCGCCACTGCTTTCTATAGCCATGAGCATCATCTCGCAGCTGTGTCACTTTGCACTTGTGGCGAACCAATATATCAGATACTACAATATTTTCCACTCGAGCGGGGAAGCCAGCGAAACGCTAGACTCCTCAAGCATCGAGGAGAGGAATGCCACGTGCGAGGCGGGGGGGCACGGGGGTCGAATGCGTCGGCGACGTCATCCGGTGCAGGCGCCATGTCTTGACGTCAAAAATGTACAACACACTGCGATACCGAAGACTGAGGAGCCCGTTGAGGACGGCCGAGGCGCGGTCCATGTAATAGACGCCTTCGTGCATCCACGGCCCATGGTCGAAAAGGTACCGGGCCCCGCCACTCAGTAAAAGCGAGGGTCGGGCGTACACAGCGACCGGTCGTCGGCAGCCGAGTTTGACGAGCCAATAGCACGCGCCGTTGCAGCCAAAGACGGTCCCGATCAAGAAGAGGAGGCGTCGCCAGTCGCCCACGGCCACTTGGCCACTATTGCACACCACTTGCCAGTCGAGCGACTCGATGTGACACGCGCGGGCCACAGAGACGGTCGGCTCGATCGGAAGGAGGATCGTAATGCACGCCGCCAGAAGCAAGACCAGCAGCGAGTTGTAGATCGTGTAGAGCATCGTGAGATCTTGGGTAAAGACGATCGCAATGTCGTTGACAATACCGACAAGCCACGTGACTTCGTTGGCAGCGATGCCGGCCGAGTACCACGGTGCGTTCTGGCTCAAGAACGCGCTGTTGTAGCCGTCGTAGTCGAGCTCGAGGCGCGACGTTGAGAGGAGGCAGAGCGCCGTGATGCTCCGAAGCGCAATGAGCGGCCGCCCGACCCAGACAATGCCGCCGACGCGCGAGAGCTCGAGCAAGTTGAGCCCCTCGACGTGACCGCGGCTCACGACTGCGTACAGGGCCGTCGTCGCGGCGAGTGCGATCATCACGTACGTCACGTACTGCACCGACCGGTGCGAGTAGAGTGCAAAGACCGTCGGGAGCTGCGACGCGTCTGTGGCTTGCACCCGCGGACGCAGGCCGTCCCCGATCAGCGTGATGGCAGTGACATCGCCGGTGAACCGAACGACTTCGCGATTCCCGAGCACCCAGTCGTAGAGCAGCACGTTGGCAAAAAACGAAAAGGGCGGGGACGCGAGGAGCGGCAAATGATAGATTTGCATCGGCGCCGATGCTTTCGGCCGGCCCACTTGGAAGAGCTCAATCTGCAGCGGCGTCAGCGCATCCAGAAGCCGTGGCGCCCATGTTGAATGGAGCGCCGAAAGGTTGGCCTGCGAGAGAAAGGCCAGAGTGTTGCGAAGCATCGGCTCGCAAGCATACGCTTGGGTGCGCATCTGAAGGCAGACATGCGTGATGTTCGTGATCGTATGCGCATACGCGGCAGCAAAGAGGAGGTGGTCTTGGCTTGGAATCGACGCGATCGTGCGCCCCGTGTTGGCACTGCACGAGCTCTCGAAGGAAAAGAGTGGCTGGAGCCCGCCCGTGATGATGAGCGGCGATGTGTCCGGTACGCAGAGGACCGAGCCACCGAGCACAAAAAACGTCGGCCGCAACCACGCAAACGGCACTGGGTTGAGGTACAGCGGGTGGGGCAAGGCTGCATAGGCCGCGCCATGCGCCAGTCGGAGGTCGTGCACGATCGCCATGGCGGCGCCCGCCGCGCGCCGGACGTCGACGGGCACAGGGACATACTGCATATCGATGGACCCGAACGGACCGAGAAAGGACTGGATGGCCGAGAGACCGGCCGAGAGCGGGCTTGCGAGCACGCCCGTCTGCAGATACACGCTCGTCAGCGTCCCATTGCGTGCCATGGCCGTGTCGCGGACGAGGCTCTTGCCCCCGAGGTCGGTGCCGTTGTTGAGAACGCCGCTTAGATCGTTGGCGAGTCCCCAGTACATCTTGTACGAGGTCTGCTTGCCAAGGCGAAGGGCACCCGCGGTCGCCTGCAGTGTGAACGGGTACGCGGCGCCGTAGGCATTCACGATTGAATAGGCGTTGATGAGACCAATGGTCTTGAAGTTTTGCCACTGGAGTTGATAGAAAGCGATGCCGTGGCGCCTCCAGTAGTCGACTTCGTCCTCGATCGGTGCCCACGGCTCGCCGAGGCGGTTCAAGAAGGCGAGGCCGGCGGCCGACGACACGAGGGATGTCGCGATACTGGTCTCGAAGGCTTCGCCCCAGTAATTGACCCAGTCGGACCAGACGACGTTGCGCAGAAACGACTCCATGTACACAGCCCCATTCGATGCATACGATGCACAGCGAGCCTGCCGCGCCGCTGTGTGTGCGACCCCAAACGACTGGTTGAAGTCGACGTAGCAGTAGCCTGTGAAGACCCAAGGGATCTCACTCGCTGGCAGCGACCGCAGCGCCGGAATCGCGACGGCGACCGAATTCAGCTCCGAGTAGTGCAGCATGGCACCATCGTGGTCCGCAAACGAAATGGTCGATGCTACTGTTGCATTGAAGGGCGCGGCGACGTTGAGTGTATGGAGTGGTCGGGTGGTATTCTCCGCGCCGAGCGCTAGCGCCTCCAAGAGCCACGTCGCCAAGAACGGGTGGTCCCCCCGCAGGTCAAAGCCGACCCAGATCAAGTCGTTGGTCAGCGTCGACTCGGAGAGCCGGAGGTAACTTAGACTTCCCGCGATTGCGATACCAATGTAAGCCATGCCGCCCAAGCTGTAGACCCACCCCAGCCACCACGGCCGGGGGGCAATCGGTGCCAATTTCGGGATCGTCGACGTACTCGGGCCATCGAGCTTGGAGTGACTGCGCGCTCGTTGTTTCCGTCCGCGAACGATCGTCCAGAGCTTGATGTCGAATGTATAATCCCGACGCTTGTAGGTAAGACGCAGGAGGCCCGAGAAGAGCCCCGCAATGGCATCGAATGGCGCGTCCTCCTCGTCCGGGGTAGCGAGAAAGGCAAAGCCAGAGCCCGAGAGCATGAGGCCGTGCACGCCGCGCGACTGTCGCCGACCACGCTTGCGTCGGTGCCCATAGGCAGCCATCAACGCAATCGGCACGACAAGGCCTTGGAGGAGGAAGAGCCAGAGGACGCGGACGACGCTACCGAGCTGGATGCGGACGCTACTGCACGAAAGACAGTAAGCGAGGCCAACACAGTCGTGCTGCAGCAAAGTCTCGACAGAGAGTGGCGACGCACTGTCCAAACCAACATAGACAACCCAGAGGATACCCGAGCTTACGTAGCCGGCGCTGTGAATCCCCTTGTCGCTGAACGGGAGGAGGAGCTCTTGCAGTACATATGTGATCCACAGCGCTTCCCACGCCAGCAGCATGCTTTCATAGATCGAGCGCGACGGCAGATGCAACGCGGCTGTGCCGTGCACCGATGCGACGCCAATTGGCGCCGTGCCCAGAAGGATCAGCGCCGAGGCGCCGCGGAGAAACAAGAGCGGGCGGCCGAGCCACGTCGAGCCTGCGACCCGATGGAAATAGGTCAAGTTGACTCCAAGAAAATGCAGCTTGGCCATACCGGCATACAATGTGGTGGCGACGACGAGGAGGCCAAGGAGCACCGACGAGTAGACGAGCAAGATGTAGATCGCTCTCGAAGCTCGGCTCAGGGTTGCTGTGCTTGGCTCAGTGGTTGCCGTGTCGTACATGTCTGACATCAGTACCAAGGTGGCGGCGTCGCCCTCAAACGCCACAACCTCCCGAACGCCCCGGACCCAGTCAAAGAGCATCACGTGGCCGTAGAAACGCCACGACGGCTCGAGGATCGGAAGCCACAGGAGCGAATACTCGACAGCGTCATTGTCGGAGGCGTACTGCATAAGGCTCACATTGAGGGCTGCGACGGCAGCCGACGCGTTGATAGCAAGCTGGGACCAGCCGCCAGATAGCGGGTACCGCTGTAAAAGGGCCGTCGCGATGTCGATGTCGCTGGCGCAACTCATGGCGTCTTGAAGATCACAGACGGTGCTGCTGATGCTTGAGCTGTTGCTTTGGGCATCGCCATGGGATGATGATGCGAGAAGACTGTAGAGCAGCGCTTCAGGAAACACGTTGATCGTGAGCGGCGGTTGGAGCTCGCACGCCGCGTCGGCCGTGAACGGTGCTTGCACGTATCCTCGTGCCGTGCCGCCGAGGCACATATGGTTGCCGCCATAGTAGAGGTAGTTGTTGCCTAGCGCATCGGTTCGCCACGGCAGAGGCAGTGGCTGCAAGCTCATGGCGCGAAGATTCTGAACGCCAATCGCGAATTGCAAATTGGTTTCTAGCGCGTCATGGAGCGCCGACGTGATGGCTGCAACGAGCGCAATGAGTTGAGGGGGCGGTGAGAGCACCCACATGTCGACCGACAAGAACGGCCCAATGAACGTGTGGCTAAGACTGGTCTGGGCCACAAAGTTACCATTGTCGTCCGATAAGAAGAGCGCGCCTTCGAGGTCCGTTGTCGTATATGAGATGCAGTAGTCGCTCGTAAAGTACTTTGTTGTGTTGCGAATGAGACTCATGTTGCACGCGGTGCCGACCGTGTAGATCTCGTTGATGAAGAAAAAATTGAGGTTCATGGTCGTCCACGGCCCCCGGCGCGTCGTCGACGACTTGAGCGTCACCGACTGCTCGATGCTCAGCGCGTTCTCAATCACCAGCCGTTGGTCGAGGCCCGGCAGGTTGTACGTCTGCCACTGCAGCTCGTAGGTTCGGAGACCATGGTGTATCCAGTAGGCGATTTCATCAATCACCGTCGTGTTGGCAGTCGCTGTCGCCGCCATCCAGGCGCGCCCGTCAGCGGTTGCTTGAAGCCCGCGCTCAATCGCGGGCGCAAACCCAGCACCGGCGGCGAGCGCAATCGCGTTCCAGTCTTGGTTGCGCAAAACAGCTTCCAAGAACACGGCACCGTTGGTTGCCATGGTCGCCGCGCATCGGTGCTGGCGGGCCTCCGTGTGGGCGAGCTCCCAGCGCCTTGCAAAGTCCACGTAGCAGTACTGCGTGGGCAGCCATAGCGCCTCGGTGGCCGAGACGTTGCGCAGGTTCGGTATCACGTACGCAATAGAAGACAAACCATGCGTCGCCAAGCGCGCTGCATACACCGGATGCGCCAACGGCGGGAGCACCGCACCGGCGTAGTCGCGGTAAATGGCCACCGACGCCACGTTGACAAGGGCGGGGAGCTCGATCGTTGTCGACAGCAAGTCGTTGATGACGTCGATGAGCAGCACTTGGTAGCCGGTGGCGTTAAAGTACGACCACCAAAGGTCGTTGCGGAAGCTCGGCGTCAATAGCCACATGTACCAGACGCTTCCCGCGAGGCCAAGCCAGATCCAGCAGAGACCGACGAGTGCGACAAGAGCCTGGCGCCCGGTTCGCTGCGTAGGAACGAGGGCGTTTGGCAAGATGCTGACGGTCGGCGCTACTGCATTGACCATCGCAAACGAGTTGAAGAGTGGGCACAATCCCGCCAGCGGTTTTGGCACGTAACTGCTCCAGAAAGGGCAACCAAGTTGGTCCCAGTTTGTCCCATCAAGGATGGCGGGTTGACGCAGGGAGTGAAACCAACAAGGAACTACCCTTGTTGTCCCAAAAGCAGTTGACGTCACCTGATACCATCGTGGGTTCAGCATTTGCAGCCCCCGCCGAGGCCACGCTTTCAAGACATGCATTTTGAATCACAGCAATCCATGGGATTCATCGAACGGTATACGACTGCCCGCCACCAAAGCTAGCGGTTTTGGGATGCGAAAGAGCCGACGACGTGCGTGTCTTTACTCTTGTCGGGTACGTCAGCGTCGTTGGCTTGGTCGTAGGCTACTATAAACCAATGCATCTTCTAGCATACATGCGCTTTGGCACACGCGGTAAGCTACTGCAGCATCGTGGAGCGACGCCATACCGAGCTACTTGCTGCAGTAGCCAGTTGCTCCAAACAGGCGGCTCTGTGTATAGTTTGGTCAAAGACGGGCAACCCTCGTCGCATGTCGAGTCTTTGTCCAATCCAAGCTGACTAGAGCCAAGGACAAGTCCATTCTGTTTTCGGGCGATCGTGTATCCGCTGGATTCAATCGACGACGTTTCTTTCGTCATCGTCTGGCAACACGGTCGGTACTCCCACTCTCATGTTGAAGACTCGAGCACCAATCATCTGCTATTGCGGCACCGGAGCGTGGTCTTCCACGATGATATCTTTGCTGCTTGCTCGTCGCTGTGTTCTGTACGGCCAGCTGGGCATCCGCGAACGACGGTTGCAGTTGCAAGCGTCTTCTCCACGCGGCAGTGCTGCGTGGCTTTGAACCGTGGCCAAAAAACGAGCAAGGTTGGTGCAGGAATATTGTCGAGTTTGTATGCTGCCCCGCAGACGACATGCGTCGTCTGATCGGGCGCCGCACCCAACACATGCAACGGCCACTGTTTTTCATCGTTTTCACAATCCACGTCGTGGTCACTCTACCATTTAACAGCACAACGACGCTCCTTCGACTCCTTCCGCGCTCCACCTCGACAGCAGCGGCCTCGTTCGTCGCGCTGCCTCCGTGGCTCGCGCTCCAGCTCGGGCCGTCGCTTCGAGCCCCACCACCCCCCGTCCTCTTGAACGCCTTTCGTTGGCCGCCGCTCGACGACCTGTATGCGCTCGACACCTCCCGTCGTCTTGGCCACGGCAGCTCGAGCGACCTCTACTTGGCGACGCACAAATCCAGTCGCACCAGCGTTGCGGTCAAGCGTTTTCACCGCGTCCCGATCGCTAACCAAGCGTACCAGCGCAAAGACCTTCGGTGCGAGGTCGCCGCCTTGCGCGCGCTGCGAGGCGAAAGACACATTGTCCAAATCCTCGACCACTACACGACCGAGAACGATGACGAGATGGACGTTGTGCTCGAGCTCGTGCCCGGTGGCACGCTCGCCGATCTCTTGTGCACGCACGGTCGGCTGACCGAGCCGGTGGTGCGATCGCTGCTCGACCAGCTCATGGACGCGGTGGCTGCGTGCCACGACCGCGACATTGTGCACCGCGACATCAAGCCCGACAACATTCTCTTGACTGACGCAGACCCAACGCGCGCCGTGTTGAAGCTCGGGGACTTTGGCTTTGCCACGTCGGGCCGACATGGCCTCACGCGGCGCTGCGGTTCGGCGGGGTACATGGCTCCCGAGATGGAAGCGGGAGCTGTCTACGGCCAAGGCATCGACGTCTGGAGCGTCGGTGTCGTTGCCTACAACCTCCTCACGGGGTGCATGCCGGCCTTTGATGCGTCGCCCCGTCGTCGTGTTGTGCTACCCCCCAACGCAGTACTTTCGCCGTGCGCCCAAGACTTTTTAAACACGATTTTGGAGCCCAACCCGTCGTTTCGACCGACGATCGTTGCGCTCAAGCAGCACCCGTGGCTGCAATCGGCAGCGCCATTACCGACGACAACAACGACAACAACAAGCCTCGCTGGTTTCCTCGCCCAGTGCGGAGCGATGGCGCGTGACCCGACTGTGGCCAAGCGTGTTCGGAGCGTGGTTCGTGCTCTGGAGGCCTGCGAGGTAACACCCGCCGTGGACCTGGATAGGCTCGTCGCAGCCGTGGTCGCGGCCCTGGATGACGTCACCACGGACTTGCCGCTGCTCGGCGGGCAAGTCGAGGCCTACCGCGCCTCGCTGCGACAACTGGACGTGTGCTGCCGATAGAAGGCACCAACGATGCACGTCAATGAGATGCGTAGCCGATCGAAGGCTACCCCTGTGTGTATGACGAGAACCGTGTAGACTAAGAAATCATGTAAACTATTGTAATGGAATGAATGTCTTGTCTTTACACGCGCCGTTGAGAGATGAAGAAAGGTTGTCTTGTCGGACACCAGCTGGAAACCTCTCGAAATGGATTGATTTAGTTGATGCAGGTGCATTTATGTATAGAGAGAGGTATGTATTTACAGAGTATTTTAATGAAACCGTCAGTCTACACCAGTGTACATCACGGCAACCGAGGCGTCCTGGTACGCTGGTATGAACCAACTCGCACGTGGGGGACAAATTGTGAAATTGACATCGACACGGTCGGCATGTTGACTGTACGACGATGCTCAAAGTGTCTATTTCATTTTCGCTGGCACTTTAAAAACACCAATGGTCCGTCATGGTGCCACCCAAGCCCAGGAAGCGTCGGCTAATCACGCTGCAGCGCCGTTCCCAGCATGGATGTTGATGAAATGCACATCTTTAAAACACTATACCGAGGTTTTGTTGACACAGGCTATGGATGCGTGCGATTTACAAAGCGGGAGGAAGACGGGCGACTGGACGTGCCGTTGACGCGTCCATTGAGCTGCTTCAGGTTTCACGCAGAAGAAAATGCGTTGCTACTTGAAGTTGAGATATACGAACGTTGCAGTAGCTTTACACCTCCTCAGGTCGTCGAAGAGCGCACGCCTGTACTCCCACAATTAGCATTGTTCTACGCTGGCCAACAACGGCGCTTCTGACGTCACTTGAAGAACGAGACGGAGACGCACCGGCGTTGTATCATCGAAATTGCGCTTGAAGAAGCTACTAGTACAGTATTTGAAAGAGCTACTGCAAATTGTTAGCATGGAACGACGAATGTTCTGCTTCTCACCAAGTTGACTCGACAGAGGCTACGCTTTGCGCCCTGCCTTGGTCCCCGCAGCCTCCTGCCGCGACATACTGCTTTTGGCAGTAGTCGCTATTTTCTTCTAGCCAATCAGCGGCAAAGAAACCAATGGCGTGGCGTCCCCAAGCGTCCGCGCCTAGTCTTCCTCTGTCTCTCGCAGCACCACTAAGGAATAAACCAGCACGTTTTTGCACCAAGGCCGCTGTTACTATTGCGATATACGAAACAACGCCGTCGCTGGCTTGGAGACCCTGCTTTACGGCAAGTAAACGGCCCCTGAACGCAGCCGTTACAAGCAGTCTAATGCTGGCGCACACATGCGTCGACGGCGAGGTTCACACGCCACCGATCGCTATCCTTGCAACCCATTGATGGACGTGATGCAGTGCTTGCTCTGGGATGTTTGCAGCCACATTGCCACCATTTCGCGCTTGAGCGTTTGGTACCGCCTGGTATGATGCACCTCTTGGACACGAAACTGCCAAGTGAAACTGCCACCGTGGGACCATGACGCTAGGGCGATAAGATGGAATGGTCTACTGGATTCCAACCACCTTTCACGGTGGCTGACGACGCGACGTGTCTGTGGCGTTCGAAGCCTGTCGTGCGCCTTTTAAGTCTTGCCTCATACTAGTATCGTACGTAGGAACTGTCAGGTGGCTAGTCCTTGCGGACAGCAACACATACGAGGGCTATATTTGGTGCCAAGAATATGGGTTCTTCGATCGTGGGATCAACGAGCAATCGAGCGTTGGTTTGACGCAGCAGAACCACGTACGCTTTGGATTGCCACCAGCAAAGATCCAAGAAACGCTGGACGAAACTGGCACCTTGAAGTTGAAAAGGCTCACTTTGAACTTCAAGCGCCCTGTCACATGTCGCGTGTCCATTTCGGCAACATGTCATTTTACAAAACGATGACCCGCGCCAACACGAGCATCTCGAGCGGCGTCTACGTGCGGTCCAAACTGCACGTTTACCGCAAGGTAACACCGCCAGCGACACAGCTTCTCCAAGTACACCGCCCGCCTGCGTTTACCAACCCGCACTACCACGTCGAGACCCAAGACAACCAGTATCCACTGGCGCCGCCAAAGTACTCGATGGACTTTTGGGACGAGATCACCGATCTGCTGAGCGAACCAGTCGAAGAGATCGAGCCGTTGTGGCAGAGCCCCGAAGCGACGGCGACGCGAGACCACCTGCTTCGCGAGCTCGCGTCCATCCAAGTGTGTAGTCTGCACTCTATTTAATCGCTCAAATCCTATTTATGGCGCCTCTCCAAAGCTTCCATCGAGCACGATACGCATGAAACCGGGCGGTTGGATGGCGATATAAATGCTAGAAAGAGGACAAGTGTGGGGAATTTGGGCCAAGCACACCGAGCGACTCGAGTGCCATTCAACGAGCACATTGGGGAGCATTGGACCGAGACGTAATCATCTGTAGTAATCGCGTGTTAGTAGCGCGCGGGTCAGCTCAAAAACAAAAGTGTCTTAGTGCATCAACTTGGGGAAAAACGAACAAGAGAAGCGTGGTACATTGCCTTGGACCACGGCAACTCAGATTCGACCGGGCGGTCCACGTTGGTGTCACGTGTCCACATCAACGTTATACTCTTGGAACTTTAAAATCAATATGTAGAGGCCGACGCTACGACGCGTTTAGCGTTATTTGGAGTGCTCTTCGACCCATCGACTCAGAAACGTGTTGCGACCGTCAAAGTGGTCGATTGGCGCGAAATAAAATGTCGATCACGCCTCGTCACGCCTGCGATTCGACGACCGCGTGGGTTGGTCATCTAGGGAAAGGAGGCCTGAACGAAAGTGCCGCAATCCTGGAGCTGCAATCTGCAATCATCCTGTTTGGACGCTATACTGTAGTTGCTTCCAGAGGCGTCCATGCTGGCGGCCCTTGTCAACCTTTACAGGATTTCCCACTTTGTACACCTATTTTACGCTCGTGGGCATCAGTGTAGGGTGTGCATGGTGGAAGATACTTGATGTGTGAGTAAAACGCACTTCACACATTAGTTTTACACGCATTTCACACATTAAATAGCCAATCACATGCGAGTTCACTGGTCTGCGCACAATCATATCGACACGATTTCGCACACAGGAGCATGGGCTGGGTCGCCTTCCGGAGCTCGTATTTGGCTCACTTCATCCGCGTCAACACGAGCCTAATCAAGCTTGCCGACGCCTTTCGAGCCCTTCACGCCTCGGACGCCGTCTCATGGCAGTGGCTCGTCGTCACAGGCAGTCTGGTCCCACTCGGTCTCCTCATCGGCATTTTCTGCCCTGCAGAGCTGGAAGCGATTCTACTTGCTGTCTTTGTGACCCCGATGAGCCTTGCGCTCGCAGGCGCACTTGGCGTCCCGGCGGAGTTTGATGCGCTTTTGAGTCCTCTCCTGGCTGCGTACATTGCGACCCACATGCGTATCGGGCTCTACGTCTTCTTCTGCGCTGTATACGCACGTATCGTGTTTGGTCTTCTGCCATCGTCGTGGTCGACAACGCGCCAGGACGCGACTGCGCTCGTGTGCGGGGCCGGCCTTGTGTGGATGACGGTCTTTTCCATCGAGTCTATCCGGTTGTATCTGCAGGAGTCGGCGTCGGCGCTGATCGGGGCCGGTCTCATCCTAACAAGCATCGCTGTTTGCTTTGAGCCCAAGATTGTACGCGTCCTCATCCTTGTCGGTGGGTTCGGGCCGCTAGTGCGTGAGTTCCGCGGCATTGCCACGCAATCCATCTAGCATAGCCGTCGACTAGTATATAGCATGAACGCATCGTCTTTCATGATTCCAGTGAGCGAAAACAAACTCCAAGACGTCGCATACATCACGCCTGAATACTGCATGGGAGTTGGCACCAGCACTTGATCGTTAAAGTGAGCTGCGGAGATGATCCATATCCCGTGGGGGACCCCACTCGCCGAGTGATAGCTCACTCGAGGTCGTACGTAGTACTAGTACATAATTGTACGCGGGCTTCTGTACTTGGACCATCCTTGTGTTGACAAGACTCGCACAATTCGAGACGATTGCAATCACCTTCCTTTTCTTCTTCTTCTTCTCTCGCCGGATAGACGAGTCGTCGTAGACTTGTGAGATAAAACGCGAGTTTGTTGGGATTCCTTAATAAGAAAGTTTGAGACGCCCCGCTTGGTGCTGGCGGCGCAGTACGAGACCAAAGACGCCACATCCAACAGCTTGAGCAAGAGGCGTTGGCACGGTGCCTACGCAGCCAAAGTGCACACTCATCATGGCGAGGCCCGCGGTGATGACGGCCGATGCCAGCATTTCGGCCACCTCGAAAATACCAGCCGCAAATTGAATACCCACGAAGACCAACGCTTTGGCCACGGCAGTCGCGATCTTTGCGGGCGTCGTCCACGCTGGCAAAAGATAGAGCGTTGTCACCACGTCCGCGTGCAGCATGAGGCCGTAGAAGCTGACGCGGGGGTGCTCGGCCAAGAACGCGCCAAGAAGTGGTGCCAACAGTACTTCGTACTGCGCTGGCATCTCAAATGCATGGGCAAAGCAGAGACACAACAGTGTAGCCGGGAGGGCCAGCATGTCGTGGACGAGTCGCGGGCGGTAGACGCCGACAACGAGGGCGACGAGCAGCAGCATCGCGCCTGTCCCGTAGCACCTTGTGGCATCGTCAGGCGCCTTCATATCTGGAAGGTAGGACTGGAGTGTGTCCAGGTGGGCAAGGTAGAACCGGACGTGCTCGGCGCAAGCGCCATCAAAGGCTTCCCAGGCATCCATACTGGCGAACTACTGGCGGTGCTCCTAGCTCGATGACGCCAAGTTGAGAATGCTGCTGATGTTGCACTTTTCTTCACACGACGTGTTTTTTAAGTGGGATTGGTGAACTACGACCTGTACATCCTTTTTTACTATAGGTTGTGTTTCACACGTACTTTGCACTTGCATTTCACACATGATGAGCCCACCAATTAGACTCGAGCGAGCTATCGAGCGAGCTTACAACTGGTCGGCACCATCACACGCACATACAATACCGGCAGTATCGCCACAAGACATGGACTGGGTCGCCTGTCGCAGCGGTTGCATTGCTTACTTGAACGACTACCCCAAAAAGTCTCTCCAAGCACTCATCGACGCCATCAACGACCTCATCTCCCCGTGGGAGCGCCACAGTGTCTGCAGCAGTCTGGCGCTGGTTGACCTCTTCCTCGGCGTCTATCGACCTCACTACGTCGAGAAGGTCGTTGCCGCGTGGGTTGTGAGCGCGATGGGACTTGCGATCGCCGATACGCTGGACCTCCCGGCGCATTTTCGTTCCAAGACTAGTGCACCCAACGGGCGGAGAAGCGCGACTAGCGAGATCAAAGGTAGGATGACAATAAACGTACATAAAACTAAATGCAACGACATGTACCAGTGTCTTGATGATAAACCTGTGCACCGCATTTCACACGATACGCGGTGGACTGCAATGACCGCGTTTAAAAATATCCAAGGGCTTTGATCTTGCATGATCTTGTGAGGACATACCGGTACCTGCTGATATGACGCAGGGTCCCGGCCGTTCATGCTTCGAAGGACGACGTGAGGTGCTCCTATGCTGCATGGTCAAGCTCATCACGCCCGTCGATCGAAGAAGCGTGTGGACCAGCTAGCAATGCGTATATTGTGCACGTTGATCTTGAGCAACTAGGTACTCTTGACGATGCGTGTGTAGAAACGGGCTTGATCCCGCATCAGTGCGGTTGCGAGGAGCTGTTGCGAGGCTGCTCTCGTCGCAGCCGCGTCGCCAACGGCAAGGGCAAACTCGTGAAACTATCAAGTGTATCCGGATACGGTTGTCCCCATGCATTTCACACAGACAACGGCCAATCAGACGCGACCACGGCGCCTGTCCGACACACAACCCGGACTCGGACCGTCGCCGCCAGTCGCCAGAGTGTCCATGGACTGGACGTCGCTTCGCACCGCGTGCGTGGACCTCCACGCCTACCACGTCAACGCGACCTCGGTCGTTGCGCCCGATGCTGGCCCGCTGCGCAACCTCTACCACGCTTGTCTGCTGCTCGCCGGCGTCGTCCTCGGTGTTGGCCAGCCCCGTGTCGTCGTCAAGTACTTTATAGCTCTTCACGCGAGCGTCCTCGTGCTCGGAGCACTGAACGCACTGGGTGTTCATCACGCAGAGGCGCGGCTAGCACCTCTCCTCGGTGCACTCCTCAGTGACCACCCGCAGCTCGGTCTCCGCGCCGTCTTGGTCTTCTCCGCCTTCAACTCGCTGCACGCGGCGCTCTTCCCGGTCGCTCCACTCACAGTCATCCTCGACGTCGTCGCGCTGGTATCGAGTCTCGTGCTCGTGTACATGGTGCCGATCGCGGCCGCCCTCGAGCTCATGCACCGCGTCGGGCCGTCCATCGCCGCCTTTGTCCTCGTCTCCACCGGCATCTTTGGCTACACGGGGTCGCTCGCGCTGCCGCTCCAAGTACTGGTGCTCGGCTGTATCGCAAGTGTTATGCTCTGGTTGCAGTCGACGCCGGGCGCTCGCTTTCGGCGAAAAGTCGTGCGACTGTAATAATGTGTTTGAAAGTAGAGCCGTTCGCCGCGCGTAGTACAGTATTGCTGCGGTAGGCTTCTCGGAGTTGCCACGTCGCAGCACTTGTTGGGCAGGTGCATCAAGTTTGAAGGAGCCGCTCGACTCTTGAGATACGACCTCACGTGCGCGGCTCGACGCTGCACGGTCGCCCATAAATGTGTGCTGTGTGTGCTTTCTTGCGATGATCAATAGGGACGTGGATCGATAAGCTGTGAACGCTGGAAAGGCGCACACTTTTCGACGTTCTGCACAGTATAATTGGACCAAATTGACGATCGAGCCATTGGAAATCGGCGTCACGGCGACGTTTCTTGACCACCAAAGGTATCCAGCGTGTTAATAACGTTTGAATCGGATGTGAAGAATGTCAAGTTCTGTAGGGACGGGCTCGGGCGATGTCTGAGATTCTCAGATACTAGTTGCCTTGTCCACAACTCAGATGGGATCTGAGTACAGTAGGCTTATTGCAGCTCTTATTGCTACGTCATGTCGTGATCGCTGAAGCCTCAAGCGATATCTCTCCAGCGCTCGGCCGTTTGCATGGGACGACCTACTAACACCGAACGTTATTGCGCTCGTTGATGGCTACACGGTCGGCGTTTCTAGAGTTCCAGAGCTGCTCACTACAGCACCACGAGGTAGCCACTGGCGCGGTCGACGACACGTGCCACAGTGTTTTCTGTGTCTTCCTCGTTGGTCTGGAATCCTCTCTTGGAGCGATAAAGTACGTACTTATCGGCTTCTGATCCAGCGACAAGGCCCGAGCAGTTGCACCGCGCAAGCGACTTGACTTTGGCAATCAAAAGCAAAAAACTATACAAGATCTAAACAACGTACTAACGTTAGTAGAGTACACGGTTTGGGGTTGGGCAGCGAGACGGCTATCGCGGGGTCGTCGTGGGATCCATGAGTGGATGGTTGTAGCACAGTCGCAGGTCACGGTCGCGTCGATTTTGCCTCGAAATCAGGTACTCGCTAACTCAGGTCCTGTCCACCTCTCCACATCGCCAGGTTGGGAGCTACAACGCCGGGACTACGGCTGATAGAAGATGCTTGCACGTCTATCGCCATGGCCGATAGCATCCACCTCGTCGTAGAATACCTTCCTTGGTCACATGAGGTAGTGGCCATGGGATACATTCTCTCCATCGGTGGCCATTGCTCCTGCGCTGCGTATATTCTGGAGCGATTGCCGATGGGGCGAGCCGCAGATTCGCGCTGTGGGGCTGGGCAAACCGATCGGTACCGTAGCACTACAACCACACTGGGACGATCCACTAGCCTTTCGACTCTGACGTCGCGACCAGATCTTATGGTCTGGCGTCTGATAATGCGCTTCCCGTCGATCGACGACGACTTCTGGTACTTTTCCCGTGCGATTCATTTTCAGAAACGCACCATGAAGCTCACGTGCCTCTCCCTCCTCGCGGCCGCGTTCGCGACCGTCGCGGCGTCGCCCGTCTCGCTCAACGAGCTCAACGAGCTCATTGGCGACAACAAGACGCGCACGACCGAGCAGCTCCAGGCGATCCTCGACGACGCCGACGTCAACCGCAAGTGCCACACGTCCAACAGCAACTACCTCCCGTTCGCTCGCGCCGGGTGCGTATGGCTCGAGCGCGTACCACAACTGCTTCCGCACCGACGCGCAGGTCGACGAGTACCTCGACGTGCTCGTCAAGCAGAACACCGGTGTCATCACCAAGTTTCAAATCTCGACCACGCACAAGGGTACTCTCTTCACTTCTTACGAATCGTTTGTCTCATACCGAGGGTAGG